TGCAAGCAGAAGCAAAATACCACCCAGCTCCTTCATTTTGCCTCTTTCTGCCACTAGGTGATAGTATGGTGACACCTGTATTGTTCAGCTGCGCACCAGACCTTCTGTTGCTGAATTCCTGGCASCATTCACACTTTTATATGTAAAGAATATCCAGAAGCTCATCAATACTACATTGCTAGCCTTTGAATAGCAGTGCTTAATTATATCCCCCGTGATTTCACGCATTAATGTACCCCGAGTGTAGTGGATGCTCTTATTTGTCCATAGACTCAAACTGGGCTTTATTTAGACACAGACATTACGCTAAATCGGTCACCTCACTCTATTTCTGTGAGTTACCCATTCAGAGCTGTAGTGAGACATTTTGACGGAAAGGGCAAGATAATTACATTTCCCTAGCAGGAAGCAGGAGAATGGCTGGAGGTAACATTTACATTCTGCCTCATGGGCATCCCACTCACTGCCAGTTCTGCACATCCACTCGCTGCTTCTTCCACATTTTCCATTTTGTGCTCTCCCTCTTGAGAGGACTCCCCTCCTCAGCCAATGGAAAAGCTCCRGGCTAGGAGGAGACTCGCATCCAGAAAAACACCTTGAGCACACAACTGCTGTTCCCTCCACAAACCCCTTCTCTCACATTACACATAGTTTGTACACTCACAGCAAAATTAAAATCAAACTGTCCTTTCTCACAGCTACTCTGTAATGTAAACAGTCAAAATCCTTCACTGTACATTTTTCCCTAGGTAAATCTTTAAACTGTTTTCTGTCTAACCACAACAGCAAGGTCATTTTTTCTATTRGTAGGCTGGACTGCCCTCCCTGACCAGGAACATGCACCCCAAGGAACAGGTGAGTGGCCAGCTCCAGTTTTCACAATACCTCTCCCATCACAGCTGGCTTTACCAGCATTTCCAGGTCCTCATTGCAGACAAAATCCCATCTCTTCATCCATAATCTGTGGCAGACATAGAGTGATGAAACTGTTGGCACCACAGGCAAGCCAAAAATTGGAAACCAGAATCTCCAGTGAAAAGACACTGAGCCTTGGACCAGTAAAGGCTAAGGGGAAGCAGTTCAGAAAGTGCAAAGGGTAAAGTCACACATCATTGCACTGTTGGCTCATTCTCAACTCGAGGATTTGATTCAGCCATGACCATCACAAGTCACTGACCTTCCCACAAAAACAAAATTTGGATATAGACCTAGGGGAAAGCCTGGATTTCTGCTTTACAAATTKGGTTACTTTGACAACTTTTTGTTTTCATTCAGATTGAAAGTAGGTGTGTACAATTTTCAGGTTTAAAAATGCTTGTATTTATCTTATCTAATGATTGGTTTGGACATTTGGAGTAGTGTATAAACTACTAGTTATATGGCAGCACACTTATAGGAATAATTTTCATAATCAGTAAGAATATCTTCTATGTAATGTAGATTGAACTATYTATTGCTTTGTATTCAAAGCATTTACAGTGTCATAGCATACCCAGGAGGAAAAACCAATTCCAATGTCACACTCCTCCAGCATGGCAAACAGAAGTCTCAGAAAGATAACTTGTTCTCATTGGAAATCAAGACCTAAAGAATAAAGTAAAATATTTCAAGCATTTATACAGATCATTGTAACTGACATGGTGTAAAACATACTAACAATAATATAAAAATCAAATCCCTTTATGGGTCATAATAAAGCTTTAGAACTCAGAAATTAAATCCTAAATTCCAAAAGTAAATGTCTTTAAAAAATCTACTTCAAAAGTCTTCCTCCGTTGTGAATCTTCATCATATTTTACAATTAAAATTAGTTTAGTATCACCTTCTTTCACTTTTCATCAAAAACTAACAAAAAGAAGTCCAACCAGCTGCTGTTTTGTAAAGCATATTTGAACTGGCATTTCCTGAGCTTATGAAAAATGAAGCACTCCATTTTACTTACTGGATAAGGGTGCTCTATATCCCATGAATACTAATTTTTTTTACAGTTCTTCTCTGTGATATAAGAATGTTTAAAACTCACAGTCAGGGAAAAGTTCTGCTGCTAACAAACCTGTAACAAACCCATATTTCCAGKGATAATCATGTCAGCTGTCAGAGCACAGTGAGGAGCAGCTGGTTCACGAGAGGTGGCGAGCCAGGAGCTGAGCAGAGCAGCCAGGCAAGTGGGAGTAACACCCTCCACCGAGGAGTGAGGCTGTGGAGTGGCAAATCTGGATGGTGATCAGGATCAAACACCATCCAGGGCTCTCCCAAGATGCCCACAGGGAGTAAGAGTCTCCCTGGCAGTGGAGCTCCCCTCGGATTCAGCCAGTTCAATGTTTTACCTTCACCAAGCCACCTCCTTCCCAGGAGAGGGGTGCACATCCAGCGCTGACAGCAATACAACACACAGCCTCAGCACATAAAGGTGCAGGGTATTGTTGAATGAAATACACATTTTATGTCAAGAAGTCATTCAAGAACGTGAATGGGTGACAATATTAACAAAAACAACTGCTATTGTTGCCTTTTTTAATGCTACAGAAAGCCCTTTGTTTAAGAGAGAAAAAAAAAAAAAGGGCTACAGAGATATATTTATGAGCAAAAATCATTCATCAAAAATAGGGCATATAAGAACAGTCTGAGAAACACCAGTGCTTGCCAAACAGACATGTTCCAAAGGCTTTTGCAGAGCTACACAAAATGGGTAATTATATTACAATTACAGGTTTTAATTCACATGGCAAGCACSTCATGTAAAACTAACTTACCACTCATTTCATTTTTTTTTTTAAAAACAATAGCTCCAAATTCCAGTGAGAGTAATGGAAACCTTTCCAAGCATGTCAGCAGGCTTTGTGCAGGCTGAGACTACATGCAACATTGATTTCTGCCTGCAGCAAGGATCTACCTATGGGCATCAGGAACGAGAGGGTGAAAGAAATTACGAAGGGCTCRTTCATTTCCAATGCCTCCATCATTTCTCACCCAGTTCCTCGAAGGGGTAAATATGAGATGCGCAGTTGTTGCCCCTCACAGGACAGCTAGAGACCTTACACACTATATTTGCTTCCCCTGCTCAAAGGGTGAAATAAGGGCTGCTGCAGCCAGTGTACAGGTATGCAGAATGAAACTCATTTAGTTTCTGCCTCACGTATCAAGCATTGCAAAAAAAATATCCTGAAGAACATGAAAACTAGGGAAAATAAATGTTTTTTCCCATTGCCTTTATTTCGTCTCAAATTTTAATAGAAATTGAGACTGTTTAAATGCTCCACACATCAAGGCAATCTTTAAAACGTGGTGTGACTTCCTGCAAAAATAGGAGCATTTGGCATCTCAAAAAGCTTCCCATCTCCCTAAAACGCCTCTTTTCATCTTTCTGAGAACAATACAACAGAGTCTTTCAAAACCTAGGTGAAAAATAAACAGCAACTTCAGCACACATAATGAGAGAGCTTTAGATATCCGTATCTCAGGTTTGGACTGTTTTAATATAGCTACAGTTATTTGACAAAAGTATGTTGGARATTTAAACGGTTTCTGAGGATTTCTATAGCAGGCAGGAAACAATCATGATATTCAAAAGGCACTATTCTAAACAAATTGCTCTACTGGAATTGTTAGCTCCCTGCAAATTCTGTAGAGTCTTTGAATATTAGTGTAGAGACAGATTCACATTATTTAATATATTTCAAGTTGCAGTCRGAAGAATGACTAACACACAGGTATCATACTTATCTTTATTAAAAGAAAATAAAGCAATCAAAGGACTCATTCATTTCATGTAATTGTTCTGGAACTGGGCTGATAAATCAAATAATATAGGATACTATAGTATTGCTAGTGATCTCCAAAATTAATAGCAAACATATATATATATAGAAAGGATTGAGATTTACAGAGTGAATATAGCAAGCAAAGCAGTTTGTTCTCTTCGGTATACAAATCAAATAATGTCAGAGCCTGTGGATATGAACAGCATTGTATGGTCATTGATTGTTTGCATGCCATAGCACAGCAGAGTTGATTTGAGTTGTTTTTGCCTTGTAAGGARATCTCTGGGACCACATGCCATATCTGCTGTGGATATCCTATAGACCAATCTCCCATAATGAACAGACATGCATTTTGATCAGAATATTATTAAAAGGGATCATTTATCCTTAAAAATAATCTTAAAACACTGTAAGGTCTTCCTAAAGAAACAGAGTCAGTGATTTTGCAAATTTTGTTGATTTTTCTGTGCCTAACAGTGAGATGAGGTGTCATGCAACTGGATCCTGGGAAGATCTAAAGTAATTAATCATTTCTTTTGTGAAATTATGCAGGGCTTTTTTTTTTTTTTTTTTAAATATACATCACATTATCCATCATATGCAATTGTAAATTTGGTATATAAATTATTTGTGCAAGTTATTTATTACTGCTATATACATAATCAGGAAAATTTCAGAAACTTTTCTGCTCTTCAGGGGATCATCTTTACAACCTCTGCGAACATGTAAACTATTTTCTTACTAAAAGGAACTGATAGCTAACATGTTTTCAGGAGCTTAATTTCATATATATAAAGTCTACCTTAAATTGTGGAGGGCTGGTATTTTGCTTGATTTGTAACAAGATGAACCAARATTATCTTATAAAAATTTGGGGTCTGAAATACTTCATGCACTGAATCATTTTCATCTAAGGAATCCAAAAAAATCAAACTATTACTTGTACCTTACGCCAACCCCAAAACACCACCTGGATGGAGACTCTATACTKAATTATAAGAACTTTCATATCATAGAATCATGGAATCATAGAATAGTTTGGTTTGGAAGAGRCCTCAAATATTACTTAGTTCCAACCCCTTGCCMTGGGTAGGGACACCTTTCACTAGACTTTTTCCTCCCTCAGCATTAAAATTCAGCTTACTTAAATGCTTTTTGGTCATACATCTGTAAATAGTTTAATAAGGTAACATTATAAAATTGGTAGAAATCACAATTTGTTGCTTTGCTTTGGTCAGCTTTAAAAAAAAAAAAAAAAAAAAAAAAAAAAAAAAAAAAAAAAAAAAAAAAAAAAAAAAAAAAAAAAGTTGTAACATTCAGAAAACCTATAGTAATAGTTGCACTTATTAACTGGAGTATACAAAATATTTGTCTTGCTGCCAAAATACCCCTGTAGCATTACAAGTAATTAGCATTTATAACTACAAATTTTACTAAGATAAAAGAATATCAGGAATCTASTTCTAATCATTCTAATAATCATAATCAACTAGAGACCAAATTCTGCCTTCCATTACAGTCACAAAATCACATTTGTTAACTGCTGTAAGGGCAAAGTTTAGCCCCAAACCACTTTTTTTTCTAAACAGATATACTTTCCTACATTTAAAAAAAAACCCAACCAAGCTATGTCTTATTACTGCTCTTCCCTTCTGAAGGGTAAATACTGATATTTGAAATACCTAAATTGTATTTACAGCTGTACAACACCGATGCCACATACTTGCAAAATTTCACTTGTACTCTATAAACACAGAGTAACTTGCACAATTGTCTTAAAYGCTTTTCTTAAAATAAAGAGCAGAGCAGCCTAAACATTTTCTTTGTCGAATTCGCACACAAAGTACATGGTAATGTGACACGCGACATCGTTCCACCCTCCAGACGCCACCATCTCCACACAGTCCTCCTCGTCGTAAGCGTTGTTGGGCTCCCCACTGCGCCATTTGTTGAAGGTYTGCATGGGCGAGCGGTCGGAATAGACGAAATTCCCCTCTTTCTCCAGGTCGTTAATCCCGATGAAGACTCTGGTGAGCCCAGCTTGGTTGATGTACGAGGCAATCAGGTTGTTGGCAGTCTCATCCTTGGGCATGCTCAGCGTCCCTCCTCTCCCGTGGCAGTAGAGCTGGGCTTCCTTGTACCTCTTCTCCTCCTTCACCAGCAGATAAATCTTATTCTCTGTCTCACGCACGCCGGCAACAGCTGCGGGGGAGGGCAGTGCTGAAAAGTGAGCACTCGCATTTCTATAAACCAAGTCACTGCACACCCCAAAATAGCTTCACAAATCAGATGTGGAACGGCGACGCTCTCTGYGAGCGATTGCACCGGTAAAATGAGGCAAGAAAGGGAAATAGTTATATMAAATTAACCTACCATTTTTAATGAATTTTAGTTCTGTCGTCAGCTGGGCTACTTGAATATCCATTTCACCAATAGCCTTCCTCAGCTGGCTGCACTCACAAGGGATRCCTGTGAAATGATACAGATGCACCCAAAGCAAAAAGCTGCCTAATTTCAACAACTGTCTCAACCATTTTGTGARAAGACCCAGCCTGGCAGCCCTGGAGAAAGCTGTCTTACAAATAACAGACAGAAAATTAGAGCCTTCACTATCCTGCACCATTATATGATTCTCAGGGGTGTCTGGGCCTGTGCAAAACAGCTCAGTTCACTTCCCACGAATCTTCAGCCCTGAATTATTAGCRCTAACCTAAACACAGATAGATAATCTCTGCAAAAAAACCACAATATTTTTAAATTAAAATAATTTCAAAAAAATTCTCCTTTTAAGTAAACTTATTTTAAATGTCCTCAAAGAGTACTTCTTTCAGAGCAAAAAATATTATTTGCAGATTCTTCACAAGGAACACAGCAGATCCAAAATTCCAATCACATAATGCACATAATTATCTGCAAAATGCAGTTCTGTGTTTTTGAAAGTACAGAATTTACAACACTTCTGACAAAAAAATTAGACAATAGAAAATCATCTATTAACCCAAACTGGTATAAGTTTGACAAAGATAATCTGAATGTGAATATTAAAAGACTCATTGTTACATTTATGACCACATGTCTCAAAATGAGAATCAATTACAGTTTGCATTTATTAYAGTTAGCAGTTCTGTATGTAATTATTTACAATCTRCATTGGGCTACCCAATGACTCAGCYYAGTTGTCTAAATCCATTTAAGYATAGGGTGCTTGCCCTGCAAAACCACGCATGCGGGCCAGGTGCATGACACTGGCTCAAGAATTAGTGACAAATTATGTTTTCATGAGAAATCTAATCTGTGCACCTCCAAAGCACTCTGCCAGGAAGGGATGGGTTCAGTTCAGCCTGCCACTCTTGCAAGGCTTGTTCTTCTAATGCCAGGCTGTTTCTTTAGAACATCTAAATACTTCAAGGAAGATCCATAATACCTCCATAAAATAATCTGAAGAGGGGATCACAAGAAAATGGAGCCAGGCTCTGCTGGTGTAAGCAAGCAATAGGACAAGAGGCACAGGCAGGAACTGATGCACAGGAAGTTCCACCTGGACATGAGGAAGAACTTCTTTACTTTGTGGGTGACTGAGCACTGCAACAGATTGCCCAGAGAGGTTGTGGAGTCTCCCTGACTGCAGATATTCAAGAGCCATCTGGACACAATCCAGCAAAAGGTGGGACACATGATTCATTCCAATCTGATTCATTCTCTGATTCTGTGACCTGTGTTCCTGACAATCTCCTGCTCCTATAACAGTAATTCATGGAGGGGCAGGAGCATCCAACYTGCTCCTTTGTGTTGGCTGAAAGACAAAGTGAGATGTGCAGAGATGTCCCTTTGCACTGGTGATGAATGATGCAGACATCTGCACTTGAGCTCCCACCAGGCTTCTGGAGAGATTTCTCCTCTGAGAAGGTATGAGACACTGTTTTAGCACAAACTCTACAAGCCCAGCAACTACTGCAACTTCAGTGATTTTATGTWATTTGAAAATATCACAGTGAAATATTGCAGTACCTATGCAAAAATCATTCATTATTCCCTCCAGTATGTAAACAGTTGTATTTTTAGGGATAAAAAGTCTTTCACATACACAAATGTGTTATGGATTATTACCTGGGTCACCATTAGGACCTGGTGGTCCTATGTCACCATTATCTCCTTTTTCACCTGAGGACATGAAAAATAACATGTTAAGGCAGGCTTTTCTGTCAAAAATTCATTTAGCACTTTTTTTTTCCTAGTAAAATTCAAATGTGGAAAGTAGAAATATGAGAAATATGCCCAAGTAAAATTATTTTTCTGTCCTATTCATTCCAAACAAAGGCCAGGCAAACCTATGAAACTTGAACATAAAAAGTATGTACCAATATCTAYTTTTGACATTCATAAACTTCACAGAAGCAGTACATTCAGATGCTATAGAGGAAAAAGGGCTGGMTATACCTAAATTTCAAATCATAATCTAGATGCTTAGATAAACACTGGTCCAAATGACTTACCCAAAATCACATAGGAAGCCTATTAAGTAGTYAACATTAGAAAACACATCTTCTGGCTCTTAAAAATCTGCCAAAGTACAGCACATCTTCCCATCTGCTTTCTTAAATGTCCACACTAGTGGGACAGTGCAAAGTTCTTTATTTACCCTCAAAGCAGGACATTCACAGTGCTTTAAGGTTATCTATACTGCTGTCAGAGCAAAAGGTAACTGTCTGAGAGATCTCAGTGACCTGGCTGACTACAGCRTCAGAAAATCCYTACTAAGGTAAACTCTGAGACATGTTAGCCATTCTTTTGTCGAATATAAATGATCACAGACTTTTCATCTGAAACACAATGGAGAAACAACTGAATTAAACATACCTTTTGAACCAATAGGACCGATTTTTCCATGCCGTCCTATGCTGCCTTTCTGTCCTTTGTCCCCCATTTCTCCTGTACACAACAGAAAGGTGAAAGGCACAAGGTAGCAATGTAGTCTGATTCATGCAGATTCTATTATGCTCACAATGTCAGTTTTTACAATGAACAAAACCCCACTRTATACCAAATGTTCATTGAACTCCAGAGGTCCAGCTCATCCTTGTGCAGAACTTACGTATAGCAAGCTAGACAATGATTTTATCTTTGCTGAGCAGTTGGCATTTACAAGGCATGAAGGTGTAATTGTCAACAGCTCTTGGCTGAAAGCCACTGGAAAAGCTTTTGCAAACTTCTTTCAGCTGATCGTGACAGAATTATGTTGAAAATGCACAGGAGGGGATGTTGCATTCAAACAAGGATCAGCAGATCAAAACTATCATGAAGTTGAGAAGACCTGAAGGATCCAAGCACAGCAGATATTTCATTTCAGTGACTGCACTGTAACTGGGGGCTGGCTTTGGTCTTAATGACTTATTTCTATGATTCTGTCATATAGATGGGTTTTCCATTGTACCACACTATTAAAGCGTGGATATGGAGGGACTACAGGGATGAATGATTTCTGAGRCTCCCAACCTGCAGAAATCCAAGACCAAGACTGCTTTATGAAGTTTTTTCAATGATTGTTGACAAGATTGCTTCTTTGCTCAAAGSAACATCTGCTGTATTCAACCATACACGTGCAAGGAAACAATGAGATAAATTAGGAGGAAAATCTACCATAGGGATCCAGCATTTGGATTGTGCAAATTGTCATAGCTCTGCCTCAATTGTGGATCTATGGCAACTGAAGATCTCTTGCCCCCTGTTGCTACTGCAGCTGAACAGAATTTTTGAAAGCTGGATAATTTTATGACCCATTTTGTCATTCCCTTTAACTTAAAAGTGAAATCAGTAACAAATTTCAGAATATAATCACTGCTGGGCTAAGAGATGTCCTCTCTATTACTCCATGAAGTCTCAAGCAATTCCTGTCCCTTGATGACACGAGCCAGAAAAAAAACAATTTCCTCTGAGCTGAGAGAAGCCAAATGTGTGTGGTTTGTTGATCTAATTAATTATTGGCAAGTCCTACAATCAATGATTTTCCTTTGTTTCTAATAAATAAGAAGTATCAAATGCAGACACTGCTGGACATGGGCTTTCACCAGAAACCAAAAATATATTTTTCCCTTATCTTCTCCTGCTGGAAGTACCATCTTGTAATCAGTTTATCAAGTTGTTCTGAAACTCATGTCTCTTGTTTTGCATATTAATGAATTAGGATTACCATTACAGATTATCAAATGTTTGAATGCTTTCTCCTTTCAAGCCACTACACCAGAAATCAAATAAACTCATAAATCTAATGCACAAATAAAATACARTATATAAAATTATTTCACATTCTTTCTCGTAAAAACTGCCCAGAAAATGAACTGCTTCTCAGTCACAGCCAGTAAAATCTATGTGATCCACTCAGAAGTAAAATGAAAGTGTGTTATCTCAAGCAATGAAGACACACATTAAACCTCCTTAGCTCATTAAAAGAACTGTTCAGATTTGGGTTTCTCTTAGAGTGACTATCCCTTGCTTCCACTCCAGGGGCTTGCATATTCTGCTTCTTCTGCAGAATAAATCACAAAGTTTCAAGAGAGATCCATCTGCCTTGAGGGTTTCAAAAGTTTTAACACCTTTTGTAAAGCCCTTTTTAGTAGCCCTATGGTTGTCAAAAATGCAGTYTGAGGAGTCTTAATGAAATCCGGAAGTAATAGCTGGAAAGAAACCAGGATAATAAAAGAAATTAAGTCTCCATAGACCAAAAGTAGAAAATCAAACACAAAGTTTGAATAGAGAATTGAAGAAAGTCATCTGTCATCTCTSAGATGAAGGTGGCACACATTGCAASCAATTGTAGAAAATTTAAAGGATTTTGGGAGAAACTGAAGAGAAGTAAACTCTAAGTAATCTTCTTGGTGGCATTTTCAGACCCACAAATGAGAGAAGAAATAAAATCCAGAGATGAATGGTGGGCTGCAAAACAAGTGAAAAAAAATTAGGGGATTCACTCTGTGCAATACCATAAATGGGGATCTTCATACAGTTCGGGCAATYTCTCCAGGATTAGTTGGAACAGATAAGGAGGTATAAAACTACTTAGAAAAAGGCACCAAAAAGACAAAGCCAGCAGAAATGCAAATTCACCATGTCACACAAATTTAATTGAATCATGTTTCAAAGAAGAGAGCAGTAGTTTTCTTCCCAAACTTAAGGATTTAAAGACAAATCAAATCAAATTCATGATTTGACATAGAGGACATCACAGACACCTACCTAACAAGGAAAGTAGAAGTATACCAAACCACACCAAAGGCCTCTTGACTCTAGTGCCATCTTTGACAGCAATCTGCAGAGGGTACTTAGAAAAGAACATAAGATATAGATGAAGATTAAAGTCTTTCCCCCAGTGTACCTYGATAGTCTTGCAGCAGTCAGCACTCCTGATGCAAATAGTGAGCCTGACTTGAATGAGAATGACATTTTTAAAGGTTATAAAGATGTTATAGCAGTAATCTACGTTCAGGATACTTCATTTTTAAAAACTATTGGCAACTAGAAATCAGAAAATTCTGAATATGTCAACAGAACTCCTTTAAGCTGAAAAATATGAATTATCCACACCAATGAAGGTCAGTGATTGGTGAGGGAACTGGGCTTGGCTTGGTTTGGCTTGGCTTGGCTGTGGGCTCCCAAGAAGCAGGGAAAGCAAGCCAGTAAACTCCAGAGTGCTGAAGGAAAAAGCGAGTATAAAATGAGCAAAAAACCAAGCAGATCATCCCAGACACAAAACAAAAACAAAAACGAAAACAAAATGGGATGGGATAAAAAACAACCCCCAAGACACGACCACACCACATGGCTTAGTGGTAYTGGTGAACTTCCTGGAGGTGCACTTGATCCCACTCTCCATGGGAGTAACAATGTTAAACAAATATTCTTACATGAATCAACAGCACATAATCCCAGGTGGCATTTTATGTAATTGGGGCAAATTATTTTCACCCAGCATTAGCCATCTTAAAGCTAGGGCTTTTAGTCTAAGATACTTATCTAGGTTCCCACAGTAGGCAGTAGAAAAATAAACACCTCTCACTGGTGATCCATCCCACTCATGTTAGACAGGTATCATAATGACAAAGTGAACTTTAAAAGCTTTGCATAACAGGAGGTGAAAAAAGACTAAACTATTATCAACGTATACTGACTAGAAATCAGAATAATTAGAAAATGTGTAAAGGAAACTAAAGATAGAAAGAAAAAAATMCAATCTAAGAAGGCAGCAGAAAAGTTTAAAGGATTTTAAAGTACATTCAAAACAAAAATGAAAATAGTAGGATACATTCCTGAATGGAGGAGTTTCTATTCAGAAGCAAAGAAAGAAAGAATGGCCCTCATGAAATACTATCTTGCTAGAATTAAGTTAACAACATAATGTCAAGCCTCTTCATAATGGCCCCTCTAGCCCAAGACTTTGTTTCCTGTGATGGCAGCAGAAGGTGCAGCACAGGAAGATCACACAACTCCAGCCAGTGTCTGCAGTCCTTTGCAGGTGGAATTGCTGGATCCATCCCCAGCAGCTTCAGGCAGTGCCTCCTAGCTCAGATGTGATGGGATCTGGTGTTTCTGTAACCTTGATTATAGCCTCCTTAAACTACCATGCACAGATGCAACACTCGCAACCTGTCCAGTTTCTCCTTATGAGGCAGCTCCTCTTTCACATTTTTGGTGCCCTTCTCTTACTTCTCAAGTCCTTCATGAGAGACAGAGGCCAGAAGAACACTCATTACTTGAGACAGTGCATGTCAGGCTTTTGTACAGTACAGAATCAGCTGTAAAAGGAGCTTCCTGTTTTGTCCTTTGTCCTTTTGTCATCCTTTTCTCATGAAGGTCAGGGTTCTGCTGGCCTTGGGACACTTGCTAATGATTTCAGAGCAGTCCTTGAGTTTTMAGTGACAGTTTTGGGTTTTGGCATCATTTAAGTATGGATTAAATTATGCATTCCTAATGTCCCTAGGCAATATATTTATTTACACTGAAGCCCATCTGCCATCTTTTTGTCCACTCAGTTTGGTACAGATTTTCTCAAAATCCTATTGAGCTCAGGTGGAACTGAAAGACAGTTTTGAGCCAGATACCCACTTTGTGAGTTCACAACTGTCAATGTCAGGACTTYTATATGGAATGCTGCCTGCTGCACTCCTTAGCGAGCAATAAATTCGTGTRAAAATGGACTCAGAAATGCAAAGGATTGATTGATTACATATTAATGAGCAATCAGTAATAATAAAATATAAATTAAGATATTATTACCTCTTTTTAGAATTTGATTATACAAATGACTGAGCACTCTGGCTCCAATCCAGTTAAATTAATGAGTCTTCTCTTCTACTTAAGAGGTTGTGCCTGTACAAGTAAATGCCTGGGACTGTTAACTGGCAGTGGGAACCAGGTGGCCAAGAATGGTACACTCCAAGATACTAAATTCTCTTCAAGCCAGGATAATCTTGCAAGCTGYTCATTGTGTTAGCCCCCAAAATATGCCCAAGAATTGCCTGGGAAAGTGTTAGCTTCCAAAAGCCAAAATCACTCTGTTAACACTGCAGAGGTAGAGACAGCTGAGTTCCAAGCCCAAGAATTCAAAAGCTCTATAATGCGACTCTGCTGRACATTCCATTATAGTTGTACATAATAAGGTACAATGTATAGAGGCTGAAATTAAAATGCTATAATAATATAATATAATATATTTTGAATGTTTATGGCTCTAAGAAAATTAAAATGTCTTGAAGAACATATTTTTAATGCCAGTCCTTTGATGTTATATTCCAAGAGCAAATTCACCTTCCCCTCCTTATTTTGATTGCTGTAAGGTACTCTGGAAATATTCAGAGGACTGTGTTGTTACTGACCTATCTGTGTGGAATTTCATTGCATGGAAGTTACGCACTCACAGACCACAACAAGACTCAGTGAAATAACTGAGTTTACTCCCAGCAGGGGGGTCTAGAGTACAGCCCTCAGTGCAAGTGGGGAAAGTTCATTCCTCGCACTTCACACCCCAAAATTTGCACTGCAGTAGACCCTGCCTTCATCTGAAACCACCACTGTACTCGACCCATGGCTCCATGGTTTACATTAGGCCAACACAGTTTTATATTCTGCTGACAAGCTATGCATTATAATTGACCTATACAGTTAATTAAAAGCAATGAGGAAAGTAAGTGGAATTTAACCTTATTCAGCACCCAAAGACATCAGGTGTTGATGTCACCCTGAAGTACCAGGACAGCCAGAATGAGATTTATTGCAGGTAAGCACCAGAAAGTTTTAATGTTTATCAGTTTCTGAGTTACCAAAATCTGAAAATATGATGAGAAAAGGATATAATAAAAACATTTGGAGCACTTTCTGATCTTAAGCTGTTCATTTCAGGTCAAATATGCCATAAGAAAATAGTTTCTTCTGTAAGTTATTTTATGGTTATTATATAGCTATGGAGTTGAAAGAAACTAAGCACATTTTCTTAGATGAACTTGCTAGGAAAATGAAACAAAGAAAGGGGAAAGAAAAAAAAARGAAAAAGAATTAGTGTGATTCTGATAATGAAAATTAAGACTAAAAGTAGAAAACTCTACAAATGTGGCAGAAGAATTGCAATTTCTCCCTTACATAAACCATCACTTACTCAAATAGGTGAAAAATAAAATTAAATTTAGCAGCTTCCCTCAATAGAAGGAGCCAGATATTAAGACAAAAGTTAGCAGGCTTCAGGAGAAATACAGGGGGTGAAATACATGCTAACACAGTKACCAAAATTTAACAGAATACTATGTAGAAACAGGGCTGCTGTGACTCTCCATGGGTGTTTTTAGGGGCAAATGCAAAGTGAAGGAACAATGATTATTGTCAAGTATACTGTTATATTTCATTTTTGCCTCAAAGTTCCATCTTCTGGATAAKAAATGGGAAAATCCTTGGTCTGCTGGAAGAGAATATACTCAGTCTCATGCATCTTGAGACTCCAGAAAAGTAATTATGCCTGAATTTAACTATAGATCTGCACACTATATACAGTCTGTGGAGGTTAACCAGAGACTGAAAGATTTTTCCAGGTCAAAGTTGGATATTCTTCTGTGTCCTTTCCATAGACTAGAAATGACATCTGTGAAGCCTGTTTGCTTATCCAGTCAACACTGACATTCCAAGCATGCTGGATAGAGTACCAGGATGACATGGAGTACCATATAATCCAAACTGGTTTTAAGGTAACAATGTTTTCTTCTTTATAAGAAGCATTTTTGGAAAGGAGTTGATGAGGACAAATATCTACAAAATGTACAGCATTAATAAGAAGACTACTGAATTGGAATTTATTTTAAACAAAGGCTTGTTTGGAGAGATGTCTGGATGCAAAAAAGGAAAGCAGAAAAAAAATGTTGCTACAGAAGCAGTCAGAAATTTTGCCGGTGTTGAACTGAAAGTACTGTCTGGAAGAATACTGATAAAGTATGCATTAATATTCCATTTTCTTTAATCTCTTTTCTGTTTCATATATATTTTCTTGYAGTGCATTTCCACTTCAGTGTTTCTTCTTTCAGTCTCACCAGAATTTTGGACATTTTGAGGCATGGAAAAAAGAAAACTCCTATTATTATTATTATTATTATTATTATCATTAATCAAGCATACCTCATGAGAACTATTTTTCAGACAAATGCAATTTTACAGTATGAAAGAAATAAATAAAATGCTACATCACAGATTGGCCAGACTGAAAAAGAGCACTTCCACACCTCAGATGGTCCAAAGTATTTTGAAATGCCAAGAGAGACAAAATGCACAAGACAGAGTGATGAAAGAGTTACTCAAGAAGTTGTCAAGAAAATCTCATGCCAAAGGATAAGGAGAAGGCTGAGGCACTTGACAGGAATATCATGGGTTCAGCCAGATCCTAAATTCCTCACCTGTGATGCACTGATGAAGTCTGGTCAATGGCTGGGTGAAAAAACACCTTTGCATAAGAGGGCCCAAAAATCTTTGGTCTTACACATKGGAAGYAAATTGACATCCRGCTGAGGAAGATGGGTTTATTTAGCTTGGAGTASAGAAAGGTAAGGAGAGACTTAATTGCAGTCTTCCACTAATTACAAGCAGTTTCTAGAGAAGATGCAGCCTTTTCATCTCAGAGACACACAGAGAAAGGGCAAGAGTCACGATTATGAACTACAACTGGAAAARTTTCAGTAGGCTCCAAGGAAAAGGTCGTTCACAGTGGCACCAGTGAAACAAACCRTCCTTGGAGAATTTCAAAAGTCTAGTGTGCAAGGCCCTGAGCAACCTGCTCTGATACTGAAGTCTGCCCTGTTTAAATMAGGAGATTGGACTAGATGAGCTCTTTACAACCTTTTAACCTGAATACTTCACTTCATGCTGCATTGCCTTGCAAGACTTGAAATTTTAGTTTCCGGTATTTTTTTCTAAGAGTCGTCCTTGAAGGTACATCCACACGGGAAATACACTGACTGAACACACACGCAACTCATGCAAATCATAAATTTTTCAGTGCATTGTAGGGGGAAGATCTCTAGCTATGGATTTTGATCCCAGGGAAAACTGCAGGTATCAGACTCTTGAAACGGCCTAAAAGACCATCATAATGGATCATGCATCCTCACAAGGAAGCATAAATTATCTCCACGATTGCTTTGAAAGAAAGATTGCAAACTTGGTTTAATAAAGGCTAACTCCAACCTGCTGATGACAAGAATGTCAGTCTTTAATTTGAATATTGAAATAAAAGGGTTTGACTACTTCTAATTTGAACCTTTCAGAACACACACTTCCTGAAAAACTGAAGAAGGTCAAATTTCCTCCTTTCTTCAGGAGGAAGACAAATGTGAGAAGACAGAATTTTCTGCAAGACAGAAATGCTACATTTCTCTCAGCTGTAAAACCGAACACTGTTGAAGACCATCCCTCTCAAAAGCTAAAAATATTTTTGAACTACAATGCAAACAAATTTATCACCATTTTCCCATATATATTATAGAATTGTGATCCAAAAAATGTGGAAACACTCATGTTCATCTCTGCCTATTATGTCTTACTGCCTTCCCTCAATGGTTTTAATTAAGATGTTGCAGGTGATTAAATTCACAAGCAAAAAGAAACAAAAAAATCAAGTCTTGTGATTTTTTTCCCCTCTGATCTAATATGGGGTTTTCATTTGCAGAAGGCAAATGATGAAGATGACATTATGATGCCTTCCTTCACAGAGACCTTTCAAAAAATGATTTTTTTACTTCCAAAATGAATCTTTTTGACCAGAAAGTAATATTTAGTCTACAAATGAGTGCATTTAGTTGTACTGGTTTTGGTGAGGATAAAAATTTTTATCATTGTGGCTGGTAGGRTGCTATATTTGGGATTGTGACCAAAGTAACATTCATTATTGCTAAACAGTGCTTGCACAGGATTAAGACATTTTCTGCTCATCACCCCACCAGCGAGGAGCTGGAGATGCACAAGAAACTGGKAGGGGACACAGCCAGGACAGCTGACCCCAACTGACCCAMGGGAAATTCCCAACCATATGGCATTATGCTCAGTATGCAAAGCTGGGGTAAGAAGAAGGAATGGGTGACCATTTGGAATGATGGAGTTTGTCTTCCCATATCACTGTTATGTGTGATRGGCCCTGATCCCCTGGGGATGGCTAACACYTGCCTGCCCWTGGGAAACACTAAATTAATTTTTTGTTATGCTTTGCCTGTGTAGTGTGGCCTTTGCTTTCCCTATTAAACTCTCTTTATCTCAGCCCATCAGCTGTYTCACTTTTAAGCTTCTGATTCTCTTCCCGATCCAAACCAGGCAAGTGAGTGAGTGGGGCTGAGCTGCCAGCTGTTGTTAAACCATGACAATAGTAAACAGAAATGGCCAAGGATGATTTAGTCAGTCAGCAAAGGGAGAGAGGACTCCCATCATCATCATCATCTCACAATGAGATGATCATTTGCTCAARAATGATTTTCAAAACATCTTCTTTAACAAAGTTACCTTTTTCTCCTGGAGGTCCAACTCTGCCTGGACGACCTGGAGCACCTTTCTCCCCCTTTTCTCCAGCCTCCCCTGTTGACACAAAAGGAAACAAAAAAAGAATCATATTAAACCAGGACTATTTTCTGTTAGCAGCAGTGAMAAGAATGCCATTCTCTCTGGTGCAAAAACAGAAGCAGATTTGACGTGATGTGATTTAACAGGTTTATTTTTCTCCAGCTGTGTAGACACTGAYAGACCCTAAGTCAGTACATGACTGAAGTCTTATACAACAGGTCTAGCTTTATGGATGTTCCCTATATCACTGACATCCAAAAAGCCAACAGCACAAATCACTTAAGCAGAAGTTCAGAACTGGACCTCAACTTAGCCCATGAACTTCTTTGTCCACCAAACTGTTTCTGAGCCCCTGCTAAAGACATGCTTAATTCTCAAGTGAAAATGGCTTAACTGTGACCTCATTTTTTTTTAAATGCAATTTTTGGGACCTATAAGAAGGCATTGYTACATCCATCATTACAGGACCATTTTTAAGCATGAAAGAGTAATTCTCGACTACATATCCTCAGTTATGTACTGTGCCTTTTAATCTCTGAGGSATGAACCACTATGCAGAGTACTTACATTCACATATCGCATGGTGCATCATTATATTCAGCAAATTTAAACATCACTTTCTGCTAACGTTTGCCTCCCTGGTGCCTTTCATTGAAAATTTGGGGATGCCTAGCTTGTTTTGCCTCCTACTACTCTACTACTACTGTAGTTAACCATTGACATAAAATTTAAATCTCTTTGACAAACAGAAGTTTAAAGAATGATTTATACAGCCACCTTGACAAAACAACATTTATGCGATGAAGGAGAAGAAAGTTCTGTGGCTTCCACAGAAAATCAAATGCCGGTAGTAAAATCCAGAGTCAGCACAGCACACGTGATGTCCCAACGCTGTATTTCCATGGAGGAGAGTGAGSATTAGCTGCTCTCCAGGAAGCTGACAGGAGCACTACAGCAGGAAAGTCAGTGGTTACTCCACCAGCCCAGCTCTCTGGCATAGCTGGCAGCTGTGGTCAGAGGGGGTCACAGAGATGACATGTGAAAACATGCCACAACTTGGCACATTTCAAATATGCAGCCTCCAGCTCTCTTTCCATCCCTCTCTTTGTTGYAGACCTAGGTGGCTGTGAGCTGAACTCAGCCCTCCATCTGTTATATTTTCATTCTTCAGGCTGCCAGCAGGCTCCAGACAATCTTCCCTGCCTTCAGACATGCAAAAATAGGCCATTCTCTGACCTTAATGAGGACAAACTTCACATAATCCCCAGTGAATAATATTGTTAGTATGAAACAGGCTATAATTTGGCACATTTGGGAACGTCACATTTTTATTATCAGGTAACCAATAGGCTTTGTATGATTGCCTTTCCCCCCTCAGGGCTGGTTATGAGTTCTTTGCTTCCCAAAGATAAATCCTGACAATGACTTTTCCTTGCTCTCTGGAGGCTGAGAGCAGGCTATTACAGCCTATTGCTGTACACGTTCTTCAGAGTGAAAGCTGTGCATTAGGGATCAATAAAATAGATCACTCTTGCTTCAGGCCATTACACTTGCCTGCATTTATTCCTRTAATACGATGACACCGCATTCCTTAGTGTGGGTGTTTTAAAAACTTTCTCCAGTAGGAGAATACTCCACTGCAGGCCCAGCTACAGACCAATCTTCATTTTTTTCTTACCAGCTCTTTTAAGGAGCAAGACCTTGGCCAAGAGGGASTGATCAGTGGCCCAGCTCAGCTTTGCCTTATATAAGTCCCTATTTTCTTTCCATTACTCATATTCCCTGTGTGAGTAGATGCATCAAGTGTAAGTGTAAAAAAATTTGTTTTTTTTTAACATAGCATCAACTTTTTTTATGTATTGAACCTCATTGAGACCATGAAGACAACTCCTGCTTTAGACACTAGAMGGGAGACAAAACAAGATGGCAAACAGAATTTAAGCTTTGAAAGATTCTTCTATGTTATCTTTTKCTCCACAGTAATAGTAACTTCAATTTCATGTGACTATCAAAAGAAACTGGACTTCAGGAAGAATATGAGTGAGCTGTGTGGTGAGGCTCCATCATCCATTGCTTTTTCACACTCAGCACAGTTATTAATATTGTTGGCTTTCTAAAACATGGTTGAGTCAGCTGTCTGCATTCTCAGAGCCATGGGTTTTCCCAAACACTTTTCTTTACTTCTTTATACTCTTGAGTTAAAAAAATTACCAACCTACCAAAAAAACCACCCAAAAACCAAGCAAAAAGCTCCACAAAACCCCCCAAATTAAAACAAGAAAACCTAAAAAATACAAACAAAAAACTCCCAATGAATCATCAAAACCAGTCCCTAAGACCTAAACTGTTAACCTTAATCTCATTTGTGCTTTTTCTGTTCTTGGCGTCTTTACTGGCTTTCTTCAACATCTATTTCCACTTTCATCCTCACCTCATCCCCCTTCTGATTTCCTCTTTTATTCTGTAGCATCCTAACTGATTTTGTGTCCTTTTCTGTTTTTTTTTTCCAGTCTCTCCACTCAGTTTCATCCTTTGAACTCTTCTCTTTTTTTTTGTTTTTTTCCCCTTTTATCTCTTTCTGTTCTAAAATTCCTCCATTACCCTCCACTGCTTTTGAGTACTTTTCCCTGATGACTTCCTCCTTCCCACCCCATTTGGGCTCCACTTTTTGCACCACTTCTTAAGTGTCTCTCCTCTGCCAGTCCCATATCCCATGTTCTCCCTAATTTCTTCCATTTCTTCCCTGTACCTCTTTTTCCCAGATTCTGACAGAGCTCAGCAGCAGAACGGCGCTCTGTTCCTCCGCCACTGGAGATGTTGCTGGCAGCCCAGCAGAGGAGGAGATTTTGCAGATCTAAAAGCTGCAGTGAGCAAATTCCTCTGCATGGGAGCTGAAATTTGGGCACGTGGCCACACATGTGCTCAGTTTAGAGGAAGCCTTGGCCAGGGAAGTGGGTTGGAGCTGTGCCAGCGGGGGACAGCAGCATCTCATCGCCTCTTCTCTGAGCCAGTCCCCCTGACAGTGTACTTGGAGCACTGAAAGCTTTTTAGGGGTTTCACATTAACAAGGTCTGTATCTGGCCATTTTGTGCTTCACTGAATTTGTACATCAATCTCTCTCAGTTTTGCAAGGCGAACTTCTCATGAARCGGGGTGAAGTCATTAATACATGGTGGTTTTCAGGCCTCTCTCTGGTTTCCAGGCTCAGAATTGTCTTCTGCCMAAGGGTCCTGCACTGTTTACACACTTTAAAAACCTCTACTGCATATAACAATAATGATCACTGTATTAAAGTGATAATCATAGATTTTGACTGATTACACAAATAAGGAAAACAGTGCAAAGAAGTCACAAAACTTGTCCAAGCCYGTCAACTTCTTTTGTATGAAAAGTATTTTCAAAACTTCAGTCCCCAGGGCAGTGGAGTCTGACCCTTTGACTGATCTTTCATGTGTATTTGGACAACATATATTTAACCTGATTGTGTTGTCYTCTGTAAGTCACATTAACAGCACTATCTTATGTCTTTTATACAGTAAATGTATCAAACAAATTAAACAACTTTACTCAAGTCTCAGAATTCAAACCTCAGGAGGCCTGGATAGAGCTCTTTCTAACTAGAATATCTGCAGAATGTCTAAATACTGTTAAGATCAAAAGCCACTTGATGAAGTAAATAGAAAAAAAATAGTTTTTGTTTGAATTCATGCATCCAAAGCTGCATCTATAATAATAATAGACAAAACAATAATAAATATTAAAAAATAAACATATTCTTAAAGCAAATTGGCCAAGAAGAACCCACATCCCTGTAGCCCAGTTCTCTTGCCTCAAAAACAGGGCAGCCACACACAATTTGGGTAATATCTAGAAAGGGCATTTTATACCACAGCCAAACCCTGCTCAAGCTGGGCTCACAATTTAGCTTTTCGAACAACTGCAGAGCAGAACTGAGCCTTGCCCTTCCCAATCAGTAAACCAGAACAGAGAGAGCCTGCAGTCCATTCTGTGGCCCTCAGGCAACTGGGGAAAGAAAGCCCAGGTTTGTACAGATAAGATTAATGGCACCAGTTCTGGTTAGGTGAGTATTGTGACACTATGAGGCATAATCACAAGAAAAACTAAAAGGTTTGTTATGGGTTCTCAAAAAATGTTTTTTTTTTATTGTCGATGATAAACTGGTGATTTTCATGGGGGTTTTTTTTTTGTACTTAGTTAACAAGTATTTTCCCATGTTCAGAAGTGTTATATTTCAACAGAAATGCCATAGTCTACACAAAGGGAATTACTGTTATTGACTAAACAGGGCTGGGATTTCAACAACCATAATGGATGCTGTTGCTTTAAAATGCCAGTTCTTCCCAGTGGTTGATTTCTTATGCAAGGTATATTTTTTTCCTGTGAAAAGATCAATAATTTATTACACCATCTTCTYTGGGCAATAGTTTGGGGGCATGTTCTGCAAAAATGTTGCCTTTTTTCCACAAAAACTATAGAAATGCCCAAAACCTAGCTAATGTTTTCTTTCTTCAAAGAGGTATTTGAGGTTTTAAAATATCAAAAGAAGACAAACAAAAGACAAGAAAACACAAAATAATTCCTATTACATTGCAAAATAGAAATGAARACTTCTCCAGGTATAAAGTAAGGCCTGATTTTACAGTCTTTGGGTATGTGTACCACTGCTGAGTATAAACACAGAGAGATCAAGCAGGCAATTTAAAAGAGCAACAAGAACTACTGATCAGGAGCAAATCTGGGACACTGGCATGCATTCTCTGAACCATTTAATTTCACCTTATGGACCTTAAATTTCATTTTTAAGGAGACTACAAACAGGGGCAAATGAAAGGACAACTGAGAGRCACCTTCTTTGTCTCCATTAGAAACTGTCAGAGATGCAAATGAGCCTGGTAGTACAAAAAGATTAATATTTGAATAATGGAGTAGGCTTTCACATTACCTTTGAGGCCTGGAACAAGAATCTGAACAGAGCAGGACTCCTCTGCAATGTGTTGAGGATATCCAGATCTTAGCAGTGACAGGAAGACAAGGCTAATTAGAGTCACCAAGAAAACCAGATCTCTCTTCATAATGAGCACTTACAGGTCACTGACTCCTAAACAAAAGAATGAATAAACAGTTATAAGAATTCCACAGGCTTTCAACAGTTTCTGAACACATGCAGCATCCCACTACAAATGCAATATATATTTGTGTGCCATAACCTACATCATGAGAAGCACATGTGCAGCTCCTCCAAGCAGGTTTTGTGCTCCTCAGACACACACAAAACAGGCAGCAGCACACTTAGCAGGTTTTTTTTTTTTTGCTGTTAGACTGGATGAGATAAAGTTCAGGAGAAATTTAATTAAACAAGAAGGAGATTAAGCAGGGCTAATAAAAGGCAATTCTGTGTTCATGATTTCTCATTGGAGGCAGCAGTCTGGAAAGGTGAAAGAAGAAAATACAGCACGCAGGCTTAGAATCAGAGAATTGTTTAGGCTGGAAAAGATCTCTAAGGACATCGACCAACCTTAACCCAGCRCTGCCAARTCCATCACTAAGCCATGTCCCCAAGTGCCACATSTCCCTATCTTTGRAATATGTCCAGGGATGGTGACTCAACCCCWTYCCTGCACAACTGGCTCCAGTCCGTGAAGTAATTTTTCCTAATATCCAATCTAAACTCTCTCTGGCACAACCTGAGGCCATTTCCTCTATTCCTATTTCTTGTTACCTGGAAAAAAAAAACCATCTCCACCCTGGCTACAACCACCTTTCAAGTAGTTTAAGGAGCAATAATGTTTCCCCTGTGGCTCCTTTTCTCYRGGCTAAGCCYCAGCTCCCTCAGACACTCTTCACAGGACTTGTGCTCCAGACCCTTTTCCAGCTCTGTTGTCTTTCTGGRCTCACTCCAGCTCCTCCATGTCCTTGCACTGAGGGGCCCMGAACTGGGCACAGGATTTAAGGTGTGRCCTCACCAATTCTCAGTACAGGGYGACAATCGCTGCCCTGGTCCTGCTGGACACACCATTGCTCACACTGGCCAGGATGGCATTGGCCTTCTTGGCCACCTGGGCACATGCTGAAAGTTATTAGTACCAAGTTCCCACTTAGAAAGTGTGGATCCCGCTATAAAGAGGAAATTCAGTAACAGATGAGACAAAATCAAAGGCCTGAAACTTCACTTCCCATCAACCTGAGCACTGGATTTGTGCCCAGGCAAATTGTCTGATACAATAGCCCTCATGCAAGTCATTGAGGGCAGAAGGCCGGTAATATTTCACTGTATCATTCAATAAAGTTGCATCAGAATCTTCAATAACTCCTGAAGRGAATCACCTTTGAAACATATCCTTGTCTAAGCCGACAAGTAAAATGGCTTGTCTGAAATTAGRCTGTGAAGAGATGTCTCAGAAAACAACTGAAATGAAATGGAGTTTGTGTGAAAGCACTGTCAAAAGAGAGCATTTAGGGGGCCTGTAAAAATACTTTGACAAAAGTGTTATTTATGTATTTCTGATATGTTWTTCCAGTCTTTCTTTAACCAGAGCTCTGTACTACACAAATAAGCTGAAAGTCATGACAGGGTGTTTGTCATCTTTTACAGCCRCCATAAGGACATGTGCATTTTACATCTAGAGCAAGAAGATTGGGCTATATTAATTTCCACTCCCTGAATCCCTTCAAAAACAAGACAAGTAGGATTAGGCCCAGGTGTGGGACCAGTATGTGGGTCTGTTGGCCTCAACATACTGTGGATTTAGGAGAGTGGAACTGTTATTTTTGGGATGGCCTGAAGGTGTTAACTGGCACAACAGATGTCTTAGCAGCAAGGCCAAGCAGATGATTTTGGAGTTGGGGGAACAAATTGTCCCTCTGAATTACCCTCCAGTTTGTCCTTCCATTATCCCCTAGGAGACCACAGCAAGGGGATGCAATGGGAGCAGATTTTGTCTCCTTCCTCATGTGTGGAGGGTGTGCCATGAGTTGCAGTCAGGGCTGCTCTGCCTCACAACCCCCTTGCTACACCATCTGTTGCTACACCCACACTGCAGGACAGGGGGACTCCACAAAAACCCCTGAGYTCTTACAGATCATCCAGATYKGGGGCAARGACCTGTGCATGCTATGAGTCCCTTTTGACCCAGCTATTTTCCCCAACTTCCCCAAAGGAGAGAGACCTGCAGCTGGGGAACCATGCCTTAAAAAGGTGTCTATGCTTGGACCTGGAAGAGCTCTTGAGTCAAGAGATCTCAACGCAGTCATAGTCTAATGGGCTACAGTGGGTCAGGAAACCTTGAGGAAACGTTAGTCCTGGGTAAGGCTCGGTAATCCTCCCATGGGGGAAGGGAGAAACAGGGACAGTCTGAGGATTTCCACAACCGGCAGTGCAATCCTGTGTCAGGTCAGGCATAAACTACTTCATAGACAAGCTTTGCCAACCACAAAGAATGCCTAGGAGAGTGGAACTGCTGCTCAGGTGTTTAGGCCATGATAAGTTTTGTCACAAYTGCAGCAATTATCACTCGAGGCTTCTCATGGATACAGGACAAAACTGATTTTGGCCACCAGAGGATGAGAAACAAGAGCTAGAGGAGGAGGTACATCATAAAGCCATGCATGGACCTGTTAGAAYGTGTCCTGAGGAGWGTCAGAAAGATGTTYWGAGGGCTGKRMSACCTCTCCTACAAAGACAKGCTGAGAGAGTTGGGGCTCTGCAGCCTGGAGAAAAGAAACAGCAGAAACATCCCTGGGATCTTCCAGTACTTAAAATGGGCTTAAAAAAGAAAGAGGGAGAGCRACAGGGCCCTGAGCAACCTGTCTGGTAGAAGATGCTCTGCCCATGGCAGGRGRGTTGGAATTAGGAGATCTTTAAGGTSCCTTCYAACCCAAGCCTTTCTGTGATTCTATGATCAAGGTAGACATAGAGAACTGCAATCATCAGGGAGAAAAAGGAAGAGCAGTGGAAATTTGGGTGATAGGGAAAAGCAGCAACCAGGCCAGCTATCCAGACAAAACCAGAAGAAAGACGTTTGCTGTTGCTGAACCCTGCTTGTTTGAGCTACAGCCTCCCTTGTCCAAGCACAGGGCCAACCACAAGTACTGGAAACAAAGAGTCAAGTCCCCTGCCACTTTGCAGTTGTTTTCTAAGGTTATGAAAACTGTTTAACCACAGCCTTGAGACAGTTKTGAACTATCAATCTCTGTGAGAGCACTTTTCTCCAAAATATCCTCATGTGCATAATAAAATTACTTCRCAAACATAGGCTTGGATCTGGCTACATCTCCCCAGGAGATTCCTAACCCCTGGGTACAGGACACTCATCCACAGTGCACAGTCCTGCTTCCTTTYCCTGTCTCTGATTCACAACACTCAGCAAGCAAGAGGGAGAAACAAAAACTAGCCAGAGGCAAAGGTTGAGGAGAAGGGTGTTTTTTCAGACCTTCAGTAGTTCTAAGGCCAGTAGCATTTGAGTAGTGCTGGTTGACTGCATAATGAGGGTCCATGGCAGGAACAYGATTTGCAATGCCAAATCAGGGTCCAGTGTCCTTTATGGATGACAGCAGTGAGTTGTGGTTGCCTCAGCCAGCCAGGAGGATGTGCCTGGAATGCTCTTTCAGACACCCTCAGGAGCAGCCACTCTTGAGAGACAGAGTTTGCAGCTGAGCAGATGGAGGGTGTGGGTCTGACCCGCCTGACCCTGCAGGACCCACCCTAAAGCCCAGGAGAACCCCTGGTCAGCAGCCTGCAGGATATCCTAGGCAGGATATCCCAGCTTTTCTTTGTAGTGGAAGCACTTCAGGATTCAGAAGATCAGACAAAGAGGCTTTCAAGCCAAGTGGTTCAGAYACCCTGCTGAAAGCCTGGAAATTAGGCACTTTCAGCATGAGCACCTGGCGGACTGATGATAAGGATTCTTGACGGACAAATTGGAGAGCAGAATAAAATAGCCTGAGATGGAAGAAGAAATTGAAAATAGGAGGRTGCTCAGGTCTCTGCATTAGCGAGTAAAAGGCAGCATCATCTCCTCTGTCTGCATTTTATGAGGATTTAGATGTATCCAGACTCCAGCTGAAAGATCAAAGACTCCAGGTATGTTAAATATTAATCTGCCTCTGCAAACTCCTACACAGCTCAGAGATGAGACAGACATCGAGCAGCAGAGAACTGTCAAAGCTGCTTCTTGGCTCTGCTCAGCAGCCACATATGAAGGATTTCCTGGGGAAAACAAAATCTCCCACAAAGCTTCAGCACATTCCCTGCTCTCTGCTCGTGGGTTTACACGTCTCAGAGACAGAGGCAATACACCCCACCTTACCTCATGTTAGCTCAACTCACAGAAAAAATGGATTTGTTCTAGAGAAAGGACTGCTCTAGTGTTATTCAGGTCACAACACCCAGATCCATAGGAATGCTCAGGGAAATTACCTTGGTCTGAGMAAAGCTAATTGCAGAAGGAATCTCTGATGAGATTGTAGATTAAATACTCTATAGAATCTGTGGCTGCAGTAAAGGGACACATTAATAGTAGAAATCAAACCAAAAGCACTTTGGACATCACTTTCTCCATCTTTCCCTGGTTTCAAAAGAAATCTCTTCTGCAGCTAAAATTGCTTTCTATGATTGAAATAWGAGTTTGATCTCCAGGTATGTGCTACAGCAGTACTTTTCACTTTAAAATACTAGAAAATTTCTTGCCTTTCTGACCTACTTTCAAGTCCTTTTAGACCTAGATGCATAAAGTCATTWATGAAAATTAAATCCCATTGAAACTGGTCCTCAAATAAAGGTGCCAGCCTGTTTTTTCAAACACTGTTTTTGCCCTGGTACTTGGAGTATCTTCAGCACTGGTAAAACCAATGCCAGGAAGAAACCTAGAGATGTTCAGTACTTGTAAAAGTATGAATGTTTTCTCACTGCCTATGCAGGGGTCAGAAATCAAATCTGGCCATTAACAGTGGCCATTAAACCAGCATAAACTGAAAATATTGAAAAAAAATAAAAGGAGAAAGAAAATTTAAAAAGGAAAATTAATAAAGTACCTCTATTTCCATTTGAAATGAAAACATGTCAATGCAACCAGCACGATAATTTCAAAATAACTTTTAAAA